CTCCCTAACAAAAAAAGTTTTTTCACTCTCGGCATCGATGTACTTGATTTCTTCATATTCCTCGTCCAGCTTCAGGTAATTCAGCATCTCCTCGCTAGTCTTTTTAGCGTCATCTCGGAAAGTAATCCGCTTGGATCTGACTTTCGGCAAAACGTTCTCCACCGGTGCCACTACGGCATTTCGAAAAATCTTCGGCGAAAAATAAAAAGCGCACTGCCTACGCACTTCGGTCTTCGTAAACGCCGGTTCCATGACTCGAACCGCACAAAATTTTAAAAATAAAAACGGTGAAAGATAACGATTGCGAGCCGATCGGTGGGTTGATGTTATCACCAGGAACAACGCTCTGATAATGAGAACAGCTAATGAAAAACGAATTTATTAAATTAATTGTTGGGCGCAGTTGCAATTCCATCTTCTGTCCTGGTATTTTTTTCCTTTATAAGCCAAACCCCCATGAAAGTATCGTGACGGATGGCTGGAAATTAGGCTGATGGTCACTGGCAACAGGTTGCTGCTGGTCTATTATATAATCGACTCGACCTTTTAGATATCCATCGAAAGTTACCCATTTTTTCTCTATTTCTGGAATTATCAGCACGCACTGAACTTTAGGAAAAGTCAGGGAATTTTCCGAATATACAGGGTTGGTGGTTGATAAACGTGGCGAGTGCCGACCGCTTGTCGATACTCCAACTAGCAGAACTGCCGTTTTGATACCACTCACTCTGAGATCCTATCCCTAGGGATGGAAAAGTTGGACAGTTAACTGTTTATAACAATTCGGTGGCATTAAGGTAACGGGTGACTTCCGTTATGCTCTTCGCGGCAACATCTTCAAGATTTACAAAGCTGTAACCACCGAGGAAACGGTTGCAGGTCCTATACAAAACCGAACTGCTGCACAGGAAATGCAGAACCGTTTCCCCTTTCTTCGGGTCCTCGCAGCTTCGGCAAACTTCGTTAAAAGGGATGCCGCCGCATATTCGCCAGTTGGTCAGTGTCCCGTATACCGGGTGTTGCATCGTCGGACGGGACATAGGAAATCCCATGTAAATTTTAATGGGGTCAATTATTGACTTCCCTAATTACTTTAGAGAATAATTCTATTTAGGTTTATTGAAGAGCACTAAAACCCACATTCAAAAGAATAACTTTAGATATTTTTGATCAGCTCGTTTACGAGTTATCGCCGATTTCTTTTTAAATATTTTTCCTTTTTTATGGCCCTGTATTTACTTATGAGCACCAGTCGAGGTAAAAGATAACTGTCAAATGAAGTTGTCATTTCAGAAATTTACCTATTTAGTGCTTTATTATTATTGAAACTCATTCCTACAACGGAAATCTTAAAGATGTATTTATAAATACAAATTAATATCAATTAAAGTAAAATAAAGTAATCAATTACAAGGTTAATTATAGTATTATTACAATATTCAATAACTTATTAATTTAGATACTATTAAATTGTTAGAACTTTAGGATTTAAGAAGATGTTCAAATATTCCTCCATCGACTGCTAGATAATAACCCAGGCGATCATAAAATTCTCTTCTTACATTCGCTAGTTGGTAAACTGAAATTCGATTGCATTCGGCAGAAATAGCATTTTTTAACTCGTCTAGATTTGGGTATTTTTTATCCTTGTATATCCTGTTTTTTAAATGGCCCCAGAGAAAGAAATCATTTGGCGAAATATCAGGAGACCTTGCTGGCCAATTTACTGCATGATTTAGGCCAATAACGTTTCCGTTAAAAATATTGTCTAAATATTCCCGAACAGCCAAGGTACTATGTGCTGGGCAGCCATCCATTTGGTACCAAACTTCCTGATTTTCCCTAACGGCATCATGTAAAGCAGCAAAAAATATGATTTTCGAGTAGTTCCAAATAATATTCTGCACTTAAATTTCGCGTAATAAATAATGGCCCGATAATATTGTGTCCAAATATCCCTGCCCAAACATTTACTTTCTGTGGATATTGCGTCCTTGTTTCGATAAATCTGTGTTGGTTTTCTTTGTTCCAATATCGATAATTTTGAACATTGGGTTCATTATTTAAGGTAAACGTTCATTCGTCAGTGACATATATGTTTTTTAAAAATTCCCTATCCGTGTTTGCTCTTTCCATCATATCAAAACAAAACGCCTGCCGCCGTATTTCGTCCCCATCTCGTAGCCCTTGGTGCTTTTCATATTTGAAGGAATAGTATTTATGTCATTTCAAAATTCGAAACGCTGTAGTGTGATCTATTCCTATTTCATCCTCAAGTTTCCTTGTGCTGATCTTTCCATCGTTCTCTTCCACGCACAATAAAACTTCCAAGTCGGTATCATTTCTTGCATCTTCTCTTTGTTCCTGCCTTGCTTCACATCTGCAGTTATTTATTAGGGTACCTTTGGTCTCAAATCTCTGGATATTCCTTGCGATTGTAGATTTTCCAGGTATCGGTCTATTCGGATACAGAGCAGCAAACATGTCCGACACCTTTTGATAACTATTTCCTTGATAATACCATTTAATCATCAATACTTTTTCTTCGGTAGTGTTCATGGCTAATATTTTCGATGTAGGTATGAGTTTTTAATAATAATAATAAAGCACTAAATAGATAAATTTCTGAAATGACAACTTCATTTGACAGTTATCTTTTACCTTGACTGGTGGTCATAAGTAAATACAGGGCCATAAGAAAGGAGAAATATTTAAAAAGAAATCGGCGATAGCTCGTAAACGAGCTAATCAAAAATATCTAAAGTTATTCTTTTGAATGTGGGTTTTAGTGCTCTTCAATAAACCTAAATAGAATTATTCTCTAAAATAATTAGGGAAGTCAATAATTGACCCCATTCAAATTTACATGGGATTTCCTATGTCCCGCTCGACGATGCAACACCCGGTATACCGCCATAAGCATGGCGATATCCTTACGCCACTTAGTAATGAGCTCTCCCGATTTCTTAAGGTCATATTTGGGCCAAATTTTCCTGGCTGTCCTGCAGGTGCAGGTTTTTCATCTAATGTTCGCCATAGATAGAAAAAGGCGGTAAATGTTTTTTTTTTATCGTATTAAGGGGAATAAAAACTTCCTTTGAGGCATCTAGCTCAAGGCACGATCCTCGCCTTGGAAGTTCATCAGCGCGTTCGTTCCCTTAAATGTTCTAGTGGCCTGGAACCCAAAGCGAGGTTATATCATACCTACTTGCGATTGTAGGCAAACTTGTCATACGTTTTTTGTTTGGCTATTTTGGAGGATATTGTAGATGAATTCAGCGCCGACTGGCTGCTTGGCTATCAGTGATTATTGCAGTTTTCTGCCCATAAAGCTAAAATCTCCTCGCTCAACCATTCGCAGGCCTTCCAAATGGCAAGTATCTCTGCCTGGAAATCACCTGATCTATCCGGAAGCCGGTAAGACCTTGCGATGTTAAGACCCTTCCAGAACACCCCCGAACCTAAACCAGAATCCATTTTGGATCCGTCAGTCGGGGAATTTTCCGAATATACAGGGTATTTCACTCAATTTTATTTTCAAACCTTTATTTTTCTCTTAACGAGTACCTCTTTATTAATGCATGTTTATTGCAGGTGTATTGTGGTGAATTAGTGTCTTATTTTTCTGAAGTAATCCTCGTATTCAACGGAATACGACTACACGATGTACAAAAAAGCAGTGTGACTATGTGCGCATATTTGAAGTAAAACTTGTTGTTAAGATTTATTAAATTGAAGGATTTGGAGGACATGTTTGAAAAAGTGACATATAACTCTGTTTTAATATAAATATTATTTTCGATTTATTTCTCTACAATTTCTGTTTCCTAATAGCCTGCAAATTTTAATAATGTTAACGCTTAAATGTATTTAAGAAGAGAAGAAATTTTTAACCTAACCAACAAATCGTATTTATAGTGATTTACAGTAATTTTGTCAAATTATACGAATATTCTCGTTGATTATAGGTTTCAAATAAATATGACAATGTTCTCCAATAAAAATGCGAGTTGCATAACTCTAATAATTCTAATTTATTCTATTATTAGAGTTATAATAATTCTAATTCTGAGCTAGCAAAAATATAAATCAGCTGCCATTTGCTTATGTTTGTTAGACTCAATATAACATTTCTATATCAAACATATTATATTTCGCAAAATTTTCAAATTTACTCATTTTTTTGTATTTAAAATACACACACTTCAATCTGTTGAAATGAAATGTCCCACATCCATCAAAGGTATGTTCCGATCACCATGACAACCGTTTACTTTGTTACTCGGCGCGGCCTACTATCTACTAAGTGGATATTTTAAGAAAAATTTGAAATGTTGAGGTTAATAGTGAAAATAGATATAGAGTGTTATATATTTTCGAGAAGTCCATGCCAAGCTCAATAAAAAAATTTAAAAATATACAGAAGGTTCTATTTAAAAAACTTAAGTATAGTTAATATCTCAAAAAATATTTTTTTCGAAAAAAGTCTGACTACGCCACTGCATTCTACACAGAAAAGTGCATTTAGAATGTATAATTAATTTTTCCGTGGTTGTTGAAATAAACAAACTATCGAACATCTTCAAAAAGTACAAAATTTGAGAATCCCCCTGTAACTTCGAAACCGATCAAGATAGCCACGATCCGTTTGCGCCATTGTAATTTTTTCAAAAAAAAGAACCCGAGACTGCAGTATCAAAATTTGAATATTTCTCACGGTTTCCTAGATACCCTATAGAAACAACCAAAATGGTCCACCCTGTACAATAGAATAACTTTTACTGACAACCTTTAGTAAATGTTACTTTCACTAGTGAATGTTAGAAATTACTAGGAAAAGTCGACAAATCTCTTTAAAATACCATATTCATTGGTCCAATCCGTAATTGCTAGCATTTCCTAGTGAATGTTAACAATCACTGAATTTCCAACTTTCACTGTAACATAAATATTAATCTACGTTAAAAAAAGGTAATAAGAACAATATCGACATAACTCACCAAAAAGTATCTGCCTTTATTCATATACTTGGCCACTATTCCACTGGCCGCTTTCTGAAATGAACTCGAACTTCTACTTATCAAGCTGGGATTCCATTTCGGCAATATTTTCTGTTTCCCAATCAAAACGGAATATTTCTTAGGCGAAGATTCCAGCCCGGAGGCCGCCCTACGTGCCGCAGCCACTTCTTCTCCCATCGAACTTTTTTCTCTATTTTTTCTTATCTCCCTCACACTAATCTCTCTTGCCTCCACCAAACCCCCTGTTGACTCCACCTTTGCTTCCATCAAACTTTTTTCTCTTTGCCTCCGCTTGAGGCACTTACAAGTACCAGTAGTGACAACGGGGCACTTTTCCGGCACATCTTGGTAAAGTGGTTTCTGAACAGTACTCAAACTCTCGGCAGGCTTTTTTTGTTTTTTCGACTGCTGCGCGTTACACGCGCATGCGTCATGCTCGTGCGTCTTTGACATATTCTTCGACTGTCTCAGTGCTTCTTGTTTGATCTTGGAGTCTAACTTTAGATAAATCGGTGCAAATGTTCTTTCAACTTTCTCGTCACTATTCACTTTAGTATTGCGCGTTTTGGAGGCGGGCGATCCCTTTTTCGGTTTTATGTCCTTGTCAGACATGAAACGATTGTTCAGTAAACTAAGAACGCTTTTGTGCAGGTAACTCTGGTATTCAACCGAACTAATGTCGAGTTTGCGTCGGCCAAACGAGGTTCTGGAGGAGGTTGGAACACCGGTACAAGATTGGGATGGTCGGTTTAGGAACGCATCCCACATAGCTCATTGTACTCACGCGGCACAAAAGAATAGTTCAAACAAAAATATTCATGAGGAGAAAAAAAACAGTAATTGTTTTTTGACACTGACTTAAAAATTTTATGGTGACAGATGTCAGTATCCTTACTTACCTTTTGACAACAAAAGTGATTGCAAGTTTCGTCTTCTAGTTCAAGTACAAACAACTACTGGATTCAATTCATTCATTTTATTTTACAATCAAGAACTTTTTACTGGTAAAGCAATTACTTTGTTTTAACCAGAATTGAGAATAGACATTATATTTTCATCTCTCGTATTCGAGTCCCTCTCTTGTTTTTTTTACTGCTTTCTTTTTGGAATCAACCTTTAGAGAGTTTAGTTTTTGCCATTTCCTCCATTCGTATCTCCATCATCTTCTTCTATACATCTCAGATTTTCCCACCTTTCATAATTTTTTTCTCATTACCTGATCCACAGGTTTCATTTCCTTTAGAAGTCATTAGCAGAATGTAGAATGTTTGGGAGGGGAGTTAATCACCGCGTCCTTACAGATCTTTTGCGTATCCCCCTTTCTTGAGTTATAACTCATCGTACAGTTTCAGGACTTTGACCAAAAGCCAGTATCTGAGACGGTTTCACACTGACCAGTTCTCCATCTCCGACATCAGCCGCCCCAAAGTTTATGTCACGAATGGTTGTCGTCTCGGCGCACTCAGTGATGAGGCGTTCTGGTGTTTCCCCATTTTCCCCACAGAATCTGCCTACCAGAATCACAGAATCAAACCTACTGAGATGTTCGTTAAGGAGACAGTGTCCTCTTAAAAACCCCGTGACAATTCGAAGGTTGTTCTTACTTAAATCAAAGAAAATCTTTGATTTTTCTCGGTCGTAAGTTTCTTCGAATGTCTTAGAGTCCTTAGTTGGAGGACACCCATTCCAGGTTACGAATGGAGTCTTCCAGGTTCTTGAGTTCCGCTTTAAGTTGGTTTCCACTTGGAAAGCAGAACGGTTCTGGTCCAGTTGGTAGTGTCTAGTTAGTGTTCGCTCCTGTTCTAGCTAGGTCGTTTGTTTTTTCATTGCCTTCTCTCCCTTGGTGAGCTGGCACCCAGAGTAGGAGGTCTTTATCTTGTTTGCCTAATTTGTTCAGCTTCTCTGGGCATACTTTGACTAACTTCGAATTGATGGCTACGGAGTTGATCGCTTTTAGTGATGCTTGACTATCGGATAAGATTGCTATTTCATGTTTTCGATAGTTCCTATCTAAAATTGTACGAATCTTTCGATAGCGTAGATTTCTGCCTGAAAGATGCTGGGTTAGGTGTCCATTGGTTCGGAGTATTTAGTTTTCGGCCTAAATACTCCTATCCCTGTCCCTGCTTTGGTTTTGCAAGCATCAGTATACCACGTTATGATATGATCTTTTACATGCTGAGCAAAAGTTTATCCTTTCCAATCCTTTTTATTGCTCAATACTACAGTGAGGTGTTTCTTTAAGTTGTACATTCTTGGCATGTCATCCACTGGGGGTTGGAGAAAAGTCTGACAATTGTCCTAGGACTTTTCCATCAATGACCATTCTAATCATTGTCGTATTGGTATATACAGAGAAGACCAGGCTACTAGTAACATAGCAAGTTGCCGGACGAATTTACGTTTACCCGATTTGCGTTCGTACTAGATATTCACTGCCGGCTAGTCGGCTGGTCAGGCAGTACGCAGTTGCAATTGTGCTTGGGCGGGTCGGTCGTGACACTAGGAATACGACGCGAGGAGTGCCGAGTATTTATTATTTTCATTTTAAGTGTTTACCTTCACTTAAGGTAACATTTAAAATAAAAATACTTAAATATTTATTATTTGAGTGTGTTTACAAGCCAAAATTAAAAATAAATAAATTCTCTAAACCCGAAAAAAACTAAAATATTACTCTAAATAAAAAAAAGTTATAACAAGTGTTCAAAAAGACCACCTCCTTGCGCTAGACAGAAGCCTAGGCGGTCGTAAAATCCCCGTCTGACATTGGCTAACATATTAGGACTAATAGTTTGGAAAGCCTCTCGTATTTTTACTTGAAGCTCATCCAGATTATTAGCCCTATTATGACCATACACTTTGGATTTTACATAACCCTACAAAAAGAAATCATTGGGAGAAAGATCGGGTGATATAGCGGGCCACAAAATAGTTCCATGTTCACTAATTAAACGGTTGGGAAAAGTATTGTTCAAATATTCAATACGTATCAATACAATATAACAATACGAGTATTGTGGGCAGGGCAACCATCTTGTTGAAACCAGACATTGTGGAATCTTTCTCCCAATAACTCACGAATTCTAGCGACAATCTGCTGCTGTAGCAAGTCTAAATACTTTGCAACAGTTAAATTACCCTTTATAAAAAATGGACCAATCATATGCTCCCCTACAAAACCACCCCAAACACTTGCTTTAACTTCTGTTCTTCATTAATCAACACATCAGGCATTTTGTGTTTTTGTGCGGACACGCACCAATGTGTTTCAAAATTATTAATAACTCTTGATATAGTAGGTAAAGATGGAATTGGCCTGTTTACAAAAGTTTGTGGAAAAATTGTTTGTATATCCCGATAAGACCTATTTTGGAAATACCATTTTACAATTTACAATTTGAATTTTCTCACGAACTTCGTAAACATCCATTATTTTACTAAAAATTCGTCCGGTTCTGACTATGTTAGTACCGTATGATCGAGAAAAAACGGCGTCAACGATGGCTATGAAGTGAAGATCGCTGTCATTTTATATGTAAAATTATATGGGAAATGTCATCGATCGTCATTTCCCAGCCAACTGGACGCCGTTTTTTTTCGATCATACGGTACTACGGTGGTCCGGTCTGTATAGCGACGACAATGTGCAGTGGTGTTAGGTTTAGAATGACCTCCATTGCTCTGCTGTGGGGCATGTTCTCATCCCGTGATACAGATGCATGCACTCTCCCCGTGATACAGATGCGTGCCAGTCTCTTGCACAGGTTTTGCCTTGCTGTACTTTGCTCTAGTTTTGTATACCAAGCAACTGCTCCATAGGTAATCATGGGCCTTACTATTATGGTATACATCCAGCGCAAAATGTTAAGGGCGCAACCCCATCTATTTCCCGCCAGTCTTCTGCGATGTAATTAGTAAAGAGACAGTCCAGAAGTCATCACTGAAGAGTCGCACAAAAAGCAAGACCTAGACTAATGTTAGATCTGCAAGACCAATAGCAAAACCCATCGTGCAAAACTTTTGCGTTCTTTGTAGTCTTGCATTTGAAGTCCCGATTTTGTATAAACTACTAGGAGAAACTTCAAAAAGTGATTTTTAAATCTAAATTTTTCAGTATTATTATTTGAATAATCAACTGGTATAAAATTATTTTTTTAATGATTTTCTATGTAGAATTTGAACGCGTCTAGTTACAGAAAACACACATTTACAGAAAATTCTTACAAGATTCTTGTATCAAAATCAAGTCGAAAACTGCTATTAGACTACAAGACCAAGGCCATGGGGGTCTTTGTCTTGGTCTTGCATTTGGTATTGCTAATCACTACAAGTCATATTCTTTAACTTTGTGATACTTCTGTCTTTATAACTTGATTTAGTAACGAGGTCTTACTTTCAACATAAACTGAAAAGTAGTCCTCACTTACAATATTAAGACGTACAAGTTAACAAACAAATTAAACAAGTTATGTTGACGTCGACAAAACCGTTTTATTTATGATAAGGTCACAAAACAACATATTCACATATCAACCTCGGACATGTGATAATGCAAGATCTGATTATTCTTCGTGATCAGCGTGATCAGATGACTGCATTTGGACGTGAAATTATGGGATGGAAAGTTATTGTTCCTTTGCGGGCATGGCTGTAAATCGATCACCGGAAAACTCACTGAAGTAAAATTGTTATTCCTTATATCATTCGGTTTTTCTTGAAAGTATTAGCTTTCACTTCGTGCGATTTATCACAGCAAAGACATTTCCTATTTTCGGAAATAATCTTCGGTTTCTTCTTCTTACCGCACTTGCAACACCGCTGTACTATTTTAAGGACTACCTTGTCTGCTTCATCGCAATAACATTTGAATTTCTTCACAGGAGGCGGTGGGACGTAGGGCATGTAATTCTGTTGTCTGCGTAGGTTCGACGGGCACATAGGATTAGGCGGAATATTTTGGGAGGTTGTTCCTCCTCGACTACCGCGAAGACTTGGTCCATTACTCGAAAAAACCGAGCATAGACGGTTTTTTCGAGTCCTGCTCTGTCGGGCCCTTGTTCTGAATCTCTTCATCTTTTTTGTCTATATCTAGCATCGTACCTTTGCTCTCCTTCGACGCAAAATTTTTCTTATCATCATCTTTTTCTGTGTCCCTTTAGTGCCTTTCTTTTTCGGGCCTATCTGAGTTTCTTTTTCTTGTTTATCATCCGGTTTGTCTTCATTTTCTCCCCCCTCTCCCTTGGATCTTCGTTTCTTCCTTTTCTTACCGTCACTGGATCCGTGCGATACATCTTTGCCGCGAAATTTCTTCTTTTTCTTCGACTTGCCTTTGTCCTTCTGGGTTTTGAACTTGTCCCTTCTGTCGTCGTCGGCGTCGGGAGCAAAACTACCGCCGGCAAAGTCGGAGAATTTTTCAGTTCTCTTTGTAGAGCTTGGTGTGCAAGGGGTGCAGGGTGTGCACGGGGTTCGTGGCATGCATGGCGTGCAGGAGGAGGATGCCAACAGGGACGAGCAGGGCAAGCACGGCCTACAGAAGCTGTGGCAACTTTTCAGGCATGAGTCTTCCGATATGCTCCTGCGGTAATTGGTTTAGAACATATTTGATTACAAATTTTTATATTTTTTAATATAATTGCCCATCCCATCTGGTAATACTTTATTAAACTATTATAAACTCACTGACTAAGCGTTAGATACACATGTTAAGTAAATTTATCAGAAATTAAAAAAATCAATGATAATTCAGTATTGGATCTTACTGTCAATATAATTTAAAACGTAGTCCCTTTTAATATTAAGACCTAAAATTTAACAAATTAAACAAGCTATGTTGACGTCGACAAAACCATTTTATTTATGATAAGATCACAAAACATTCACATATCAACCTCGGACAT